TATTCTCACAGAATGGCATGCAATCCTACACCCTGGAGCAAAAGACCCAGCAGGGGAAGGAGGAGAAGTATTAAAAAGAAATAAAATATCATGCAAGAAGGGAAGAGTTTTCACTTTGGGGAGCCTGTGGGACTATTCCTTTAAGGAGACCTAGTTAAGACTGGAATTTGTTTGACTTTGGGTTAATCACCTGCAGTTCCTGCCGCCCAGGCGAACCCCACTTATAAATTAATGATGGGATCTGCGGAGGGGGTAGGCAGATGTTCCTGAATCCACGCAGAATGGAGTGGCAGCATGCCCTGAGGAATAGTCTGAGGAAAGATGCCAGTGTCGCTCAGAGCCTCTGCAGTTAATTTGCTCTTGCCACTGCTTCCCCCGTTGAGGTGGCTGGTGTGTCCTGCGTGTGCTGGAGCCCAGGCCTCCTTGGACTGGCTCCACACGGCCAGCCTGGGGCAGGCAGCTGCAATGGTCTCTTTGGAAAGGCTGGGAGATTAGCACGATGTCTCAGGTAGAGCTCAGAATGAAACTCTTTGAGTAGGTTCTACACTGTGTCTACCATCTCCCCAACATAGGATGTGACCACCAAGGATCCTCCCGCGCTCTCCCGCGCTCTCCCGCGCTCTCACTGTTTTGCTCAACTCAGAGATGAGAATTTCCTCAGCATTGGAGTCAGGAAGAGAAGTTGGTATTTCCCTTTAGGAGTGGGGAGGCCTTTACCATCACTTTCTTGGGGTGTCCCTCGCTTTCTTTAAGGTGACAATGTGGTCCTATTGATAAGCAGCTGTTGGGGTCAAGTCTTATTATCTGGCAGTCAGCCAATGTGAGGAATACTGAATTATGAAAAACGTGTGTTACAGTATCTAAGCAGATGCTGCTAGTCTAATAGGCTGATGTCACAAATGCCCCACATGTGTGGAAGCACGCTTGCAACACTGCTTTCCTAAGTGATGATAGATCTGAACTGAACCGAGCTAAAATTGCGTCTTTTCCAGGTATCTTGAAATCATACCAAACTATGCTGTTTGCTCTATGATTTAGAACTGTAAGATGTGTCTTCTATGTGGTTCTCCATTCTGGGTCTGAGAGATTCTAGCCTTAACATTAGTCCAATGAGTTAATTCAGTTCCCAGTTACGAAGTAGTCCTCCGTCATTACTCAGATAGAAAGCAGTAGATTTAACCTTGAAGATTTATAAAAACTTTCAAAATTTTCAATGTGAAGTTTTCTTTTTTAACTCACAGAGTGAATCCTTCTAGGAATCTTCAGAGGAAGTGAGGAAGTCTTCAGCATGTGTTTTTACCATTGTATGTTAGTTTGCATAGATTGTGTTCTTGCATCGTGTCATTCTGTTTTGTAAAACCCAATTCCCATTAGAAAAGTGCAAAAAAAAAAAAAAACTAGAGATGTAAGTCACTTATTTATCATAAATAACATAACTGCTATACATGTGAAGAAAAAACATGTAGGGTCCAACACAATAGCCTAGTGACTAAATCATTGTTTTGTGTATGTCGGGATCCCGTATGGTTGCCAGTTTGAGTCCCAACTGCTGCACTTCCTATCCAGCTACCTGCTTGTGCCTTGGGAAAGCAATAGAGGATGGACCAAACCCTTGGGACCCTGCATCTACTTGGGAGACCCGGAAGAAGCTCCTGGCTCTTGACTTCAGGCTTCAGATCAGCTCAGCTCTGACCAGTGTGGCCACTTGGGGAGTGAACCAGCAGATGCAAGATCCTTCTGTCTCTCCTCCTCTCTGTATATCTGCCGTTCAATAAAAATAAATAAATGTTAAAAAAAAAAAAACAAGGAAACATGTAGCCAGTACCTGCCTCATCCCACCCCAAAACTCGCATCCCGCCCCACCCTGATATTGTAAACTCTATTTGCACTTGGATGGGGGCACTGTTGTGCTCTTCTTTACCATCTCGCCAGCTGCTCATGTGTCTGGAACACTGTGCTTTGGTTTGCCTAGATTCTTGCTGTTGTTGTCATTTTTTATGTGTGTGTGCTTGAAATTTATATAAATGGTATCCTTTTGTGATCAGTGTTTGTCCACTCAAAATGACATGCATAAATGTAGTTAAAACTGATTTTCACTGCTTTCTAATACACCTTTCTATAAATTCACTGCAGAATTTTTATCTATCTGCTGTTTGGATCAGCATGAATAATGTTGCCTAGGCTGCCTTTCATTTATTTCATTATGAATGGACAGAGGCCTTGCATATCATTTGTTATATTTGTTCCTAGATATTTACATTTTACACTGGAATACTTGCTATTTCAATTTTGTGGTACGATCTATTGCTAACATATAGTAATTTTGGATTTTTAAATTTTACTTTTGTGAAAAACTGTAATTTATGTATAGATTTATTTTGACTTCCTGAGTACATACTTATGTCATCTGCACATAAAGACAATTTTCTCTACTTCCCTTCTAAATCATCATACTTTAATTTCTTTTTCTTTAGTTTACTTGAGAGTTGGCAACCGTGTACTCCCATCTCTGGTTTACTCCCCAGGTGCCTGAAATGGCCCCTCGATGTGACCCAATACAGGAGCCAGGAACTCAACCTGTGTCTGTCACATGGGTGGCAGGAAATCAGTGACCAGTCATAGCACTTCCTGCTAGGACCTACATTGACAGGAAGTTGCAGAGTAGAGCAAGGTGTCAAGCCCAGGTACTCTTAGATGGGACGCAGCATCTTAACCGCTAGCTCAAACTGCCTGTCCCTCAACATTTTTTATCTCATTTTATTGCCTGTAATTAAGTCTAGGACTTTCACTGACTGTTATCTCCACCAGAATGTTGACTAAAGTGGTAACACTATGAGTAGTTGGCAGCATCAAAAGAGAAGCTTAACCATTTCTTTTTCTGCAAGTATAACATTATATGTTCTTGGATTTGGATTGCTAAAAGTTTATAAAGACCTTTTGAATCTAGGTTTATGAATGAAAAATTCATGTAGTTCTTTTTTTGTAATGTTCTTGTTTGGTTTTTATTTTAAATTTTTGCTAGATTTTTATTTTGTTGAAGATTTATTTACTGGGACTGGTGCAATGGCATAGTGGGCTGGGCCACTGCTTCTGGTGCTGGCGTTCCATATGGACACTAGTTCGACACTGATATGGACACAGATTGGCTCCACTGCCAATCTGGCTGCCTGCTTATGCACTGGGAGATCAGTGTAGGATGGCTTAAGTCCTTGGGCTCCTAGCTTCAGGTCGACTTAGCTCTTGCCTTTGCAGCTGTTTGGGGAGTGGATGGAAGATCTTTCAAGGTGTTGCTCCTTCTCTTGTATGTCTGCCTTTTCAATAGCAAATATATAAATCTTTTTAAAAGGCTTACTTATTTACTTAGTTGCATATTTGAAAGAGAGACAGATCTTCTAGCCTCTTGTTCACTCCCTGAGTTACCAGGCCTATTAGCAGAAAACTAGATTGCAAGTGGAGCAGCTGGGACTAGAACTGGCCCTCCCTTATGGTATCCAAGCATACCAAGTGGCAGGTGAACACACTGTACCACAACAGTCATCCCTGAATCTCTTTATTTTTGTTTTTTTTGTGCCTTTTTTTTCTTTATCAAATTCCTGTCCATTTGCATTGGTCTTCTCAAACAATTCATTGTCTTTAACATTTAGTTGCCCTTGGGTTGTTTGGAAATATAGTCTTAATTTCCAGGAATATAGAAATTTTTATTCTCTAAAAAAGTTTGCATTTTTAATCAATAAAAATATGAATGATTTTCATCATTTAAATTTCATGGTTACTTAGCAGGATTTTAAAGCATCCTCTTGCTTGCTGCCTGGAAATGTCTGCTCTGAAGTTGTTGAGCATAACATTCTACCTGTGGCCACTAGACCAGGTTTTGCTCACGATGATATTCAGGTTTTCTCCAAGTTTACCATATTTGCTTGTTTAGTCAGTTACTGAGAGAAGTGTGCTAACATTCCTTCAAGCTTGGGCTTCTCTTTTCTTTCTAGTCTGGCAATTTTTTTGCTTTCTTGTGTTATTAAATGAATTTGGATTTAGAATTATTTTATCTTTCTGGTAAATTGAATATTTTATTATTTTTACATATACTTTTTTATTTCTAATGGTAGTCATTACCTTAAAGCCAACGCAGATTGATATTAATTTAGCTGTATCCATTTTTATTTTGTTTTTAATTTGATTCTTGATTGCATGGCAAAATTTTTTTCCATCCTTTAAAACATCTAGGCATCTTTGTATTTTACGTGTTGATTTGTAAATAACAGAGAATTTTATTTTGTTAAAGTGTGTCTATATCTTTGAGAGTCCAGTTAAAGTTTTAATCTCTATCAGTCTCTTTGGGTCGGAAAGTGATTTGTTTGGGTTTTGTTTTTGGTTTTGTTTTTAGTTAATGTCCTACTTTTTGAGTTTTAAATATTTATTTTTATTTATTTTAGAGGCATTTACAGAGGGAGAACTGTCCACTGGTTTAATCCCCAAATGTCAGAGCAACTAGGATTGTGTCTGAAGCCTTCAATCAGGAGGTTATCCAGGATCACCCACTTGGGTACAGGGGCCCACGCACCTGGGCCATCTGCTGCTTTCCCAGGCTTGTTAACAGGAAACTCCAACACATGCCTGTATAGGCTGCTGGTGTCATAGGTGGCAGCCTTACCCACTGTGCCACAATGCTAGCCTCATAGGTTAAGTCTTTCAAAAATTTTCCACATCCATCTAGAAAATGGTTCATTAACACCTATAAATTTAAGAAAAATTTTATTCTTTATTTGTATGTTAATATGCAGGAGCTTATGAAGGTCATCATTTCCTTTTCTTTGACTCCTACATAATGAAAAAAGATCCAGGGACTAAATATTGCTAAGGACAAGCTTCCTAAGCAGAAGTTGAGGGAATTTGGTTTGTAGCTCTTTGGTTGTGATTTACCTAAGTCCAAAAAACATAACATACCTCTGTTAACACATCTGTTTTATAGGATACTATAAAAATTTTATTTTTAATTCCAGGGCTGTGACTCCCAAATGAGCATGTCAGAGATGTCCTGTAGTGGGAGTGCATCCTCCTGTCAGTCTCTCGAACACGGCTCAGTTCCCGAAATTCTCGTCGGCCTGCTTTATAATGCCACAACTGGAAGATTATCAGCAGAAGTGATAAAAGGCAGCCACTTCAAAAACTTGGCAGCAAACAGACCACCCAGTGAGTGAAAAAAAAAACATCTATTTTTTTTTATTCTAATGTTTTCTGTACTTACGGAACTCTCAGCGTTAGGAGCTTCAATCCTATCATTTAGTCTTAGCCAATCAAAATGAAAAGTTATAATCATCAACTAATCTCTTTCGTGTCTTCTATTTCTAGTCATTTGGGAAGTAGAAAAATTTGAAATTCAAAATATTAATTGTAAGGTGACAGGACTTTTAATTTTTCATAGTGTCTACAGAATAAGTTAAGCCTATCATGACCATTATGTTTTAATGCCAGAAAAAGTTTCAGTGTTTTAAAAAAGCAACTAGTACACCCAAATATGAACTAGAATTGTGTGTAGCTTTTGTTTTTACCCAAACATTACTACTTTGTTTCCTGTCTGCATGCAGTACTATGAACTGATGTATTTGCTTCCGAGTCTTCCCCTTTTTGCCCGTTAACGATTGAAGAAAGTGTTCACATTTCTCCTGTGAAACTGCAACCCAGTCCTGCTGGCAGGGCCTTGTCTGGAACAGAATGGGCTTTACCTGTGGCAGAATAAGTTCTGCTTTGCTGTCTACCTCAGATGCCAGACAGGAATGGGAACTGGGTACCCTGTGCCCTGCTCTCTGTGCAGCTCCAGGTCCCTGGGGTGGGGATAGGTGAGTGAGTGCAGAGAAGCTCATGTGATGATCTTTAAACCGTCTATGTATGTCTTCATACTTTTCTAAAATTATATCTGTCAACACCCTAAACTGAAAATTTGAAAGGAAATCCTGGATACTAATACAGCCTTAAATTTGTTTAAGATTCCCTACAGACTTGCTTTGTGCAGTCTTTCACTCCAAGTATAAGTAGCTATTAAAGAAAAAGGAAAGGTTTCAGGTTTTTTTTTCTGACTTTGAATTAAATTGCCTTTACTTCTAAATGTCATGGAAGTTCTTTATTCAAGGAAATGAAAAGTCATAAATATATATTTGGTTTGCCCCAAGTATTATTGGAGAGCTCACTTCGTTGGTATATCATGGAATACATCTATCCCTGAATTAAAAAGTTGAAGGCTACTATAATATTCATATTTCTATCCTTAAATGAATGACCTAAGTCTGTTTTTTTAGAGGTAAAATAAATACCATGTGTCTCAGCATAATTATGAGGCTTACATCAAAGAAAGGTGTCTGAGAAGGCTGGGATTATGATGTCTGCTTCCTCATTTCAGAAGGATAAGTTAGTAGCAGAAAAGAAACAGTTTTAGAACAAACGGATTTGGAAGTGTGACTTGGTTATCGTCATTAACGTGCACTCGGAGTGCAGACTGAGAAGTAAATGAGTGAATCATCCCTGAAGGAGAAGGAACGGGAGAGGCCTGTGGCAGACACAGGAGTACACACCCTGTGTAAGACATTGGTTGGGAAATGCTCCAATGCAGTACTGGCTACCTGTTCACCATCATGCATTGGTGAATAGTTTACTTTTTTGATAAGTATTTCACTGGAGAAGCTGAAAAGCAGGAGAATGTAATTGTTGATTTGCTTTTTTTTTTTATCTCTACTTTAGCCAGTCTGATGAAAGCAGAGAACCACAAACTAAAATGAAATGTGGCAGGGACAGGGGCAAGTAATAAAACGATTAAGAAAGATTTGCATCTACAACCTAGAGCCAATCTTTTTGGTTAAAAAAATAATAATAATAAGTGATTGCAATTACCGTGATTTTAGAATTCAGTCTTCAGTACAAAGATGATTAATGGTGTTAGCTGGGAGGTAACTAGGAAGTAAATACAAGTCAACATTAAAAATAATTGCTTGAACACAAAGGATTTATAAAGCAAAAGTAGGATATTTATAACATAAATGTAAAACAGTTGGAGCAGTTTTTCACAAACTGAATAAATTATATAAAATTGTAGCTTTTTACTTACACGAAAGATCTAAGGTTTGAATTATGCTACATACTGAATAATCCCAGTATTAGCTGAAGAAACAATAGCAACATTCAAGAACAGAAATTTTGATAACTCTTTTATTTTGTGCAACTTAATTTTATATCACATTGGGAGTAATGAAAGTATTGTAAATATCAAATATTGCATGGACAAACTTAGCATTTGCATAATAATAATGACCCTTAATGACTTTTGTTCAGTCTTTTATACTCTGGTAATTTGCATGATTCTATGTTCAATGTGCTTTATACCAAGAAGATATCATTGTAAAGATGCCCCCTTTAAAGTAGTGTAATTTTATTTAAGATTACACAATGACCGTAAAAACTCTCATTCCATGAAATTTACCTGACGGCCCTTTTGTTCAACCCTCAGCCTGAATTAAAATGCTGAAGTTTTGTGTTCTTCCACCCCAGTGAACAGTGTTTCCTCTCTAATTCTAACCTTTGACCCTCTTTCACCCAACGATTGACATCTGGTCATTATTTCTTTTACTGCTTTCCACCCCCTGTTGTCAGATGGACTGTTCTGTTGTCTAAAACACTTGATAGGTGGACAGGTTTATATAATCCGAGGTGAGTTCCTGTAGAGGCTAATTGGATGTTGTCTTTTCATGCAAAAACAAAATCCCCTAAAACTTGCCAGCAGTGAAGCTGTCCACCATGTTGGTTTCTGAAAAAATGCACATTTATTATCTGTGGTACTTCAAATAAAAACTAACGTAGAATTTATCTCTGATTATGGATGATGGTATTTGGATTATCTATAAAGCAGGCAAAACTTTTTTAAATGGAAGTTTTTATTTTTCTATCTATCTGTATTTTGATTCATGTAATAGAAAGATATTTCATGAGAAATATTGCAACTTTCATTAAAACGAATTGACTTTTGATTCGAAGTACACATGATGGATCAACATGCTGAGGATCATTTGCATGGATCTACTGAACTTGAAAGCACAATCTTTAAAGCGAGAATTTTCCCCAAATAATCAGGCAATGAGCTATTACGTTCACTTCGTACACTAAACATCACATCAGGTTCTTTTTTCTAATTCAAGAAAATAGCTATCATACTTAAGATTTCATGTTCAGTTGTGCTTAAAAGAATTTCTGTCATATTTATTTAAAGCACATTAAATGTACTGTTGCATGAAAGCAAGAGAAAGTTTTATTGTTAAACTTTGAACTCTTAATGCATTTGGCTTCATTTTAGCACTTCGATGTTTTTAAGATATATTTTAAAACCACATCCATGCAGAGATTTTTTTGACATTTCATCCTAAGCTGTTTCGATGTCATCTTTTGCATATTTGTCCTCCTCTCCATTTGCCTTCATTTCTATTTGTTTGTTTATTCTTATTCTCTGAAAACACAGTGGAATGCTTTACAGTGTTGTGGCTAATTGAGCTTGCTAAGTGTTTATTAATGCTATGACGTCCTGCTTAGTGAAGCTAAAGGGGATGGGATTGGCATGGGTGGTGGTGGGTGGTGAGGGATGCGGTGGGGGCAGGGGAGGAGGAGACGGGGAAGGAAGGATTATGAGGTATACCTTTAAATTCCAGTTATTGTTGAGTAATAGTGAGGTTAAGCTATATTACCCCCAAAGTATTTTTGGCCTACTTAATGTTCTCTATTACATTTTGTAAGCATCTATGTTAAAATGGAATCACTGGAATTACCATTAAACATGGTATACACCATATCCTTGTGAAGTTTATTTAATCTTCTCAGCGTATGTTACAAGAAAATGATTTTGAGTTTGTTTCAAGTGATATCTGTGGTATGTTATTTCTTTCTTCAGATACATATGTTAAGTTAACTCTGCTGAATTCCATGGGTCAAGAGATGTCCAAATGCAAGACATCCATCCGCAGAGGACAGCCCAACCCAGTATATAAGGAGACTTTTGTTTTTCAAGTGGCCCTGTTTCAACTTTCTGATGTGACACTCATACTTTCTGTGTATAACAAACGCAGCATGAAAAGAAAAGAGATGATAGGCTGGATTTCTTTAGGTCTCAACAGCTCCGGAGAAGAGGAGCTCAATCACTGGACTAAAATGAAAGAGTCGAAAGGACAGCAAGTGTGTAGATGGCATGCGTTGCTAGAGTCGTGATGGCTAGGACACCGCGCCGATGACAGCCCAAGGCTGTGCGTGTTATTTCTGATTACCGTATCTTGCTTTTTACCTAATCATCACTAGAAGAGCTGTACTCTGAAGAAGCATATTCAACGATCTACCAAAATGCTTTCAATCCAATGGAAAGAACATCTAACACTGACATTAATGAAGAAAAAAAATCTATATGGTAGAGCTTGTTTGGGAAACTGAGAACTGACACTGTTGTTGTTAAACTAACAGTCCTCCGGATACATGCCTTTGATTTGAAGTTAGTTTTACTTTAGCAAAATGAAATTTTCAGTATTTCTCAAAGTCAGAATTTTGGTTGTAACAGTATTTGAGTATCACCCATAACATCCATTATAATTGGTGTTTGTAATGTGCTCTTGACATGAAACAATCAGTTCTCCAGCTACATCGCAAGCTACATCTAATGATGAAGGGTCGCAATCACATTGAAAACTTCTATTTCAGCTACTTTCCTTTTGTGCACTTGGTTCTTTTAGTAACACTAAATCCAAGTGCATATAAGTACTCATTTTTGTGGAGTTTTCTGAATGTGTCACTTTTTTTTTTCAGCTTCATGTCTTCCTTTACTGCTTTTGCCTGATCCAAAGAGACCCAGTCACTGTACTGGTCCCTTGCAAGTCTTTTAGACAGGTTGTACTGTAGAACTATGTAACTTTCTGTTGAAAGCACTTCCTGTATTCTTGTATTCCAATGTAGGAAGCTAATAGAGCAGGCCTTTACTTTAAAATTCCCTTCAGTAATTAACTATTTAAAACTATAGTAATTTGAAAATACTTTTTCTTACAAAATTAAAAATACAGTAGATAAGCTGTTAAAAGTTGAAAACAATTCAAATTAGAGAAGTGTCTGCTCTGAGTACTTAGTAACCAACACTGCATAAAGCAGGTAGCACTCAGAATGAGAAACTGTTCTCTCTAAATCTTGACTTTTACTTCAATTTGTATTTGTGATATAAAGACTATCAGTTCTCAGTTTGATTCAGAACATCCTGTTAACACTTCTGAGATTCACAAAGTTTCTAGTACTTGTGATGAGATTTTATGAAATTTACAAACAACGTGCTTCTACGTGACGTCATCCTGTGCCTTTCTTGTAAGCTAAATTTGCTCATACAGCTTGAAAGTTGTATTTGCGAAATTAGGCCTTCAATTTTTATAAATATAAAGATTCCTCAGAACAATGTCACAAAAATCTTTATTTCCTCAGACACATGTAAAGGTTGTACTAATTTTTTAAATGACAGCACACTTTGATTTATTCTTTTTATGTTTAGGAATTCCAGTTTATCAAAAATATTATAAGCTGTTTTCTTTTTAATTTTGTTTCTTACCTAGTATATAATTTCATGCATATATACTCTACTAAATAGAGTATGTTTTGTGTGTACATATATGAAAAATATTTTTTTCTTTCTCATTTTTGGTTAAATTATATAGAACCATATATTTACCTGTTACTAAAAGGCAGTGTGTTATTGTTCCTATTCCTATTCATAGGAATTTAGATTTAGTTGTAAGCTAAAACTTGTTATTACCATAATAACAAAATCATTTGTTTACTCTGGCTTGGCTGTACTAAAAGGCCTTAAAAATCAAAATTCTATATCTTTTTTATTTATAAAATGGCAGCTGTACGCATTCATACACAAAAACAATTTTTAAAATGCAAATGTCATATTGGGTAACATGGAACTTAGAGATGTGAGTTTAGGGTTGCATTAAAAGGGAAAATCCATGCTTTTCCAGTTATATCAATGAGCTTTTTCCAATTTTTTTAAAATATAAATTAGGCTGTAAAGTTGAAACATGCATCAAATGATGAAATAAATATCTCATGTTTGTCTTCTCAGTAGCACTAGGGGACAAGGCTAAAAAGTGGGCTATAGATTTCATAGGAAATGGGACGTAGGCATTTGACACTTGAGCGGTATTTCCCAGGTTTGAAACAACTGACTGTATTGCTGACAACTGATATTGTCCTAATAAATAAGAGTTATTAGGAAGTGAACTGTAGCTGCTGCACACATTAGTAAGACCAGTTTGGTGCTTTTACTCTCAGTAAGGAAAAGACCTAATTCGTTATCAAATGCACCATTTTCTTCCGATTATGCCCAGAATTGGGTGTATGGTTTGTTATAACTTGAGTTAAACCAGTGTAATGATCAAGCACTATAAGGCCTAAAAATTAATCAACTGTTTTTTACATAGGAAGGATCCTTTCTTCATCTCAGCTTCTCAAAGACTGTACAGTGCACACACATGCCCATACATACACACCTAAATAATGTGTGTGTGTGAGTGTTCATTGGCCAAGGTGAATCAATCCTGGTTTTCTCAGAAAACTGAATGGAAAACACTTCCTACCTTATGGGTTCTTTTTTCTCCCTCTATACACTTGCCAGATACTGTGTTTAGTTTGGAGTGATATTTGCTGCCACTGTCCTGTGATTTTTACACACTTAAAATAATTATTCTCCAAAATTGTCTGTTTTCTTAGGAAGAGATTGCATTGGCCTGAAAAGGCTCCATCTACTGAGTCTGATATATGACAAAATACTTACATCTTTAAATTTGCATGAAAACTTAGAGACAAAATTTTATATGTCAGTAATTGTAACAAATAGAGACCCACTGGTGGGTTGCAAGTGTTGACTGAGAAAGTTGAGAAAGACAACTCACTTCTTTATTGTTCTGTTAAAATCCCATCACTTTTATAATAAAATGAAACAGTCTAAAGGTGACAGTTGACTGGCAGTTGTGAGAGCTTCTGGGCCTAGAATCACAGTCTTCCAAATGAACTGCCAAGTGTAGATGTTTATTACTGCACAGATAACGAAGAGTATTTCAGGCTGGTAAAGTATTGGTGTGGTAAGATAATCATCTTACCTTTCAGAAACTTTGTTGGGTGGTGCTGTGTCTTCAGTACTGTCCACATTTTGCTTGAAGTCCAACTGACCATCACTGCATACAGTCAGTAAATCCTCAATAGCATCGTATTTGCTGACAAAAATAACAAGTTGTACCACAGTTTAAAAAGGGGGAAAGCTAATTGATCAAGTGGTAAAATATTGATTAAATTCACATTTACATTTGCAGCCTGGTAGAAGAACTTCATGATGCTGACGCCCAGGGCCACCCATTGAGTGGTTTCTTTAAGACCATCATCATTTTCAGGTCACTTATCATAGGCAACTGGGCATAATCAGTGACTGCAGAATAAGATTGCACCAACACAGAGAGAGAAGGAATAGAACTGAAGATGTTATTCAAGGTGAGAATGGATGTGGAGATCGAATGATACCAGTGTTTCAAACTAACTTAAAAATAGGCAGTTGGAAGGTATGAATTTTAGGTAGCATATGACCTAAAGAAATAGTCACTGACATGTTTTCTCAGGATACGTATCCAGATGTGCATAGAAATGGTATAGACTTATTTGCACAAAATTGCCATTTGTCTACAGATGACTCTTAGAAGGTTTTCATATTGGTTGATGGTTATTATAATTACATTATTTCACATGCAGTCTACACTGAAGGCAGCCAGAGTTAGTAGTGACTGCAAGGGTAACCGAGCTACAAGTAATTTCCAAAGCTGATTTTGAAATATCAGCTAGGCCCTCCAAAGTATGTCATAGAGATGATATTACTATGAGCTATAAATTACTAAGGGCTGGCTCCATAACTTATTATGTTGATTCTTCCAACAGTACTCTGAGGGAAGTATTTATGAACATTTTATCAATGAAGAAGCTGCAGTGATTTTTTTTCACCGTTCAAGGGTTAAGCAACTTTGCCGAGGTCATCAGTCAGTAAGTACCTAAATGGAACCAGGCTCACAACCCAACTGTAAATTACTGTGAAACCTGTACTACACACATGCAGGTTGCATTCCACATCACCGCTTGCAAAAACAGTATCTCTAAAAGATTACTGAATTAAATGACAATCCTGTACACCCTAAATGAATGACAAAATTAGGTATAAAAAAAATGACAAAAAAGGATCAGGAGTTCATTCTTTTATGACACAAATGGTATTTGTAGATGACTTTGATTCCCAAATATTTGAGATTCATTTACACATATGCTAATATTCTGGAGGTGCATTAATCAGTCGATTGTGCTTTCTCACTGCTTCTGGGCATCCGAAGTATCCTCACAGTGCATGAGCACCTTCCTACCCTAGGAAGCAGAAAACCCATACGGTCAGACCCGTGTCTTACCTCAAGCCCCTGGCCAGAGGCCTCTTGCCTGCCTTGGTACTCTCACTGCAGTATATTCCTGCTTCCCCTTAAAGAGACACAGGAGTGACAGCTAGCTTTGCTGCATGTGTCTCTCTAGCCCACCAGGAGACGGTGACTCCTGAGGTGAGTCTGACAGAATGAAAACAAGTTAGACTCACAACAAACTCCAGATTTTTGTGCCTCCCAGGAACAAACCACAAGCAAGTGCTTCTTGAGAGCTTTATTTCATATACTGAACTCCACCTCCAGAGAGTTTGCTTCATTTGGTCTGGGGCGAAGTCCAAGGAGCTACATGCACCCCAGGAAATTCTGCCTGAGATAATGGTGTAGAATAATGAGCTTGCTACTTAGAAAAATGGATAGCAATGCTCCAGTACCTTATAGGCTAGATCTTTAGATGTGACCATAGCTAAATCAGAGAGAGAGAGATGAAGATCAGGAGTAGTGCTAAGGATGTTTGTCTTGTGTTTTCTTCAAAGGAAAAGTATTTGTGGAAAATAAGAATTAATCATAGGTTCCTATACATTCACACTTAATACAGCTTTTCAGTTATTTCTTGCTAAAATAAATATATGCTATGTTTTATGATTCTTGAATATTCCTTTGAATTACTACTATCTTCTTGTAATTATATAGTGATAGTTATTAAGCAAGGAGAATCCCTGGGGTGATAGAGCTAGCTTTTGTGTCAGTGTTCTAAATGGAGTAAGACTGGACTTTGAGCACATGAGTGGAAGCAGCCATGGGTGGTGGCATTTTTGTGTTCTTGTGTGGGGTTGAGCCTTCTTGCTTCTCTTCAGCATCTTCCCGAGTGGCTTCCTTGTCATTGCACTAATCAGATAACCTTCAGTGCTGGCTTCCTCATTAGGACCTCTGTAGATCACTTCTGCTGTAACTTCATGCAGTTACTTCATTGCTTTGTCCTTTCTCGGGGTCCTTTATTTGAACAAGCAAGAACACATATTATGGATAAAGTTTATCTATGTTTTCATTTGAAATGCAGTCACTCTTCTTTATATGATATATTTTATAGTAATATGTTCTACATTTTGAAAGTTGTCTCAGCCTACTGAGATGTGAAGTTAATTGAAGTTTTAAAATAATATTGTTGGAGGATTAGACAGTTTTGTAACTGCTGGGTATCTCTGTATTTGATTATAATCTGAGACCTGGTTAATATAATCCTAAAATGATAGAGTTCAGTAGCCTGGGATTATTAGTCTATTATCAAAATGAATCTGAGATACTTACCCTTTTCTCCCCCCTGCTTGAGCCAGTATGTACCCCTTTCAGCTGCTTCATTCCTCCTCCCTGCCTTTCTACCCACTCTTAGTCACACACATTCACACTAGGTATCAGTTTGTGCATCAAAGCTGAATAATACATTTCTCCAAAGAACCAGCCAGCAGGGAGAACAAGCAGGCTCTCTCAGAGACGACATAAAGCAGAGTGATGTTCTCTAATCCGAAGACATTTGCTGTTAGCGTAGTTATTGTTAGCATCTACTTATCTTGAACGGTGTGAAGTACCCTAAAATCATATTATGTGGACTGGTACTGGAGAAGATTCCTGATTATTAATCTAACAAAGGTTTGTTCTGCTTTTATTGTGGAATTCAAACCTGTTAGTACATAGAAATGTCTAAATAATTAATTATGAGGATGAAGTCAGGGCTGTGTTAGTTATAGTGCAAAATATTTGATATGATTGCAACATCAGTTTGACAGCATTTTAGGGGCCCTCCTTTATCTTTTTTGTTATTTTCATTATTAACTTGTAGTCTTTGACTTTTGAATTTTTTAAATATTCAAGACTACTTTTAAAAGAAAAATCTTAACATCTTTCTGATAATTCCGTAAACCTGTTACTCTCATCTGATAATGTGCTCAAAAATTAATGCCCCATATATGAGATGAAATATTCCTCTAAAA